GAAAAACCTTATGATGTTAATTATTGTGTGCAGCTGGTAATGTAGGTCAGCCAGCATGTTTGGGCCACACCCGGTGGGGTATAACAGTATGGATTTTAGAATACAGTTTGGAGAAGCAATACGCTACTCTGAGGAGGTGAAGCAATATGCTGTAATGCTGCTATGCTCTAACAACGATGCTCTTTGCGATGGTGGAATAGCTATTTACTCTCATTTGAATGAAGATAAAGAAGCCTTATTCTGTGTTACTTACAAGGACTATGAAAGTTTGGTGCACTGTTTGTAGCAGGATCAAGTGTGTGTTAAACAAAAACCTTATGATGTTAATTATTGTGTGCAGCTGCTAATGTAGGTCAGCCAGCATGTTTGAGCCACACCCAATGGGGTATAACTGTATGGATTTTAGAATACAGTTTGGAGAAGAAAGGATCAAGTGTGTGTTAAAGAAAAACCTTATGATGTTAATTATTGTGCGCAGCTGCTAATGTAGGTCAGCCAGCATGCTTGAGCCACACCCAATGGGGTATAACTGTATGGATTTTAGAATACAGTTTGGAGAAGCAGGATCAAGTGTGTGTTAAAGAAAAACCTTATGATGTTAATTATTATCAAGGGTCTGGAGAACAAGCCCTATGAAGAACGGCTTAAAGAGCTGGGCATGTTTAACCTGAAGAAGAGACGGCTGAGAGGAGACATGATAGCCATGTATAAATATGTGAGAGGAAGTCCTAGGGAGGAGGGAGTAAGCTTCCTTTCTGCTTCCCTGGAGACTAGGACGCAACGGAACAATGACTTCAAACTACAAGAGAGGAGATTTCATCTGAACATTAGGAAGAACTTCCTGACTGTGAGAGCTTTGATCATCTGGAGAGGCCCTGCTCATGCTCCCACCTCCATCGCAGGCGCGATTGGTGGGGACGAGGGAGAGGGCCTTCTCAGTGGTGGCCCCTCGACTCTGGAATTCGCCTCCCAAGGACATCAGGCATGCCTCAACTCTGGCAGTCTTTACGAGGAGCCTGAAAACGTGGTTGTTCCAGTGTGCCTTCCCAGAATAATGAACTCTCAGCATTATTGGGTTGTTGTAG